AGATCGAAAAAAAAATCCACCTCCGATGAATTTTAATATCGTTTCATAAGAGGTCTGTTGGGTCTTGGTTGGGTTATGGATTCTTCTGAGAGTTCTTCCAAAAATAATTTCCCCACTTTGTGTTTCCATGGTCTGTGGCTCCTTTCTGAGTGTATACTTCCCTCTGGAGGTTTATTTGGGTCCGGTGACACAGCAACAGTAGCTTGATTTGTCAGAATGATGTGCATTTTGCTCAGTGGACTGCTGTACAGCCAGCAGGGACAGGAGGAATGATAATTGCAAGTTTGGAAATATCAAATGTATCCTTTAAATGATGCCTCTTGTACTATGAGAGCCCAGAATTCTTGTGTGCTTGCTGTGTTATTTGGTAGCTATGGCCGATACGATCAACAGGAAACAATACAACTTTACCCGTTAACCACACTCCGAGGCTTGTGAAAGTGATGCATGCGTGTGAGCATAATGCTTTGTGTAGATTATTTATATCTTTGTTTTCAGTATTGCAAGAGAACCAAACATTTATTATTGCACTGTAATTCTTAAACTCTTAAACTCTCTCTACCCTCTTTTTCTGCATTATTTCCTGCAGATCCTGCTGTACCAGTCGCAGCAGTCGTACCAGAACAAGGTTGTGCCATCAACAGCTGTGCTATTTGTGTATGTGGAGCGTGCCCATGGGCTGCCGGTGAGGCCACATCTATGAGTCCTTGGGGTTCTATTTGTTGCTTATTGTTAAGTGTTTGTCCTCACGCCAACGATAAGTACAATAGTTTGTGGTTCTGTAGCCGTGCATTACATTATTCTGTGGACGTCTTTCAGTTTAAGAAGGGTGGAAAGGAGCCAAAAGCCGGGGCTGAGATTATCCTCAAAGGTGTCTCATATAAAACCAAGGTAGGATCATGATTCTGATCTAAAACTGAGCAAACAAAATGTTGCTTGATAAAAGTTGTAATGTTTCTGCTGGTTCTGTCCCAAGATCTGTGAGCGGTCCACGTCTCCTCGATGGGACGAAGCCTTCCATTTCCTGGTTCGTGACCCCAGAGACGAAACACTCACAATCAAGGTGAGAATCATTAGTATTTTCTATATTAAGCCACTTTTACTGACACAGATGACTTTTATACAGAAAAAAACATGATTTTGTATTTACAATATATATGTGTGTTTTTTTCCAGCTCTCCCACAGCTGGGGTCAGAGCCTCGGGTCCTTGACTCTTCCTCTCAGGGAGGTGCTGCTCGAGCCGGGCTTGGTGCTTGACCGCTGGCTCAGTCTGGATGGAGTTCTTCCAGAGAGCCAGATCCTGCTGAGGGCCACACTCAAGGTACTAAGGCAGTAATACATTTGTTAGCAATGTCTAGTTTGTGATGTATTTTTATTGAATTACTCAAAGGTATTTCTGTATATAGAACCAATCATGCAATACACTGAATACTGTAGTTTACAGCATACTGTTAAATATTAACTCTTGGTCCAACATTGAATGTGCAGTACTTCAGATACTGTCAGCACACTCATGCTGACTTTTGCAACGATTGCAGATTTTGGACACTCAGCTGGCGGTGTGTCGCAGGGATCCAGGTGATGCAGGTAATGAGGGCAGCGGAGAATTCATCCCCAGATGGGTTCCATCCCACCTCGACCTCAGACACCGAAGTGGATTCTCCATGTGAGTCACACATGTGCACACATGAGGACAAATGTCCCTCTGTGTTCTCACTGCCTCTACTGCAGAGACATGAAATCAGGATTTCCTTTTGGCTGTTTTCTAGTATAAAGATATATAAAGATAGATTTCCAATGCTTTTTTTTTCTCTTCCAGCGTTTGTTTTGCTTGTGTATAAAAAGACATTAACAAATCAATAATCACATTTCCTCTGTTGTTTCTTCAGGGCCAGTGACAATGCAAACAGTACAAGCCAGGTGAAGCTCACCATAGTCTACTCCACAGAGGAGAGCCGGCTTTTCATCACCATTCACTCCTGCAGGTCTCCATATCACACACACTACTTTAATGATCACATTTTTGACCCAGAGCAGCCACCGTTTACCATCACATGCCGTAAACATGTTGCTGTGTGCCCACAGAGCCCTGGCAGCTTGCTCCAAGGACGGTGCTGACCCTTACGTTTCCTTCATCCTGCTGCCCGACAAGAGGGCTACCACCAAGAGGAGAACTGCCACCAAGAAGAGAGATCTCAACCCTGAATTTAACGAAAGGCAATAAAAACAAATGAGAGACTCGAGACAGTAAGAGAAGCTTTGAACGTATTTTAATTTATGTTTCCCACTTTTCTCTTGTCTTGTTTTAGGTTTGATTTTGATTTCACTCTGGAGGAGTCCATACAGAGAAGACTGGACCTGTCTGTGAAGAACAGCGTTTCCTTTATGAGCAGAGAGAGGGAGCTGATCGGCAAGGTAAATATCTGCTGTGATCCCTCACACATGAAATACAGGTAGTTGTTCCCAGTATGTGATTTGTTAATTATTTGATAATTAGGGTGTTAGAATGAACAAATTAACACAAGCATTAAAGTGAGAGACTTGTTTGTTTGTTTTAAATAGTTTACAGTGGTGCTTATCCTGTTGTTTTCACCCCTGTGTGTTTGTGTGTGTGTGTTTGATTGAATGTGTGTGTGTGTGTGTTTGTAAAATAGCTTACAACAGATTTTCACCAAACTGAATATTATTTGTACCTCCAAATGACTGACGTTCGACCACACCTGACCACGTCTCTGCTCTGACCTTCTCCTGTTTTGCTTTGGGTCCCACCAAAGCAAATCTTGCAGGAGCTGGCGGCTTCAGCTTTTAAAAATAAACTGCGGATCCTGGGATTTTGTGATTGGCATTAACTATAAGATGCACACATTTTCTATGTGTTCGTGCAGCTCTCTCTCTCTCATACAGGAGAGAGATCCCCCCTCATCTCGCTACAAATCGCCGTCTGGTTGTTGCTCAAGCTCTCATGAACGTCTTTGTGTTTACATACAGTAGTTGCTATCACAAGAATCAAGATAGAGAAATGTGGGAGATCATCTTTTTCTTTCCTTGTCGCTCTCAGTTGCAGCTGGACTTGGACCAAATAGACCTGAAGGCTGGTGTCACACAATGGTAATAATTTAAAAACAGCTACTCAACAATATTTATTCTATCAGCAAATGTATGTGCAAATACTAAGTGATATGACAAATTGTATTTCTGTTTTTTCAGGTACGATTTGGTAGCAGAGACCAACTAGAAGGATCCATGCTTGATCTTCGATACTATATAACAATAAGTGTTGCTTCTGTGATCTGTGACGTGTGTGTTTGTGTATTCGGCTTAAATTCAATTTTCCATCATCACTGAAGAAAAACAAAAGAAGATGGCACACGTGCGTCATGAAAACACAGTCCACCAGTATTTAGGACACTTTCACATGTAGCTTCTCATCCACGAAGTGTTAACTGTGCTGAATCCATGCAGATTCTTCAGTAGAATATTTTGGCTGAATAGATATTTGATAATAATGCAACTATGTTGCACAATCTACCGAATTTATAGTGTTTAAAAGCATGTACAAGTCCTCTTTGACTTTTATTTACTAAAGGGCTCATGCTGTGGTTTGACAATGTTTCAAGGATTTACAGCGTCCAACACAACTGAACCAGATTTCTTTTCAATTTTGATTTTGTACAATCTTCAAACTGATCCCAAAAATACTTTTACTGTTAATATACGTTTATATCATTGCCTTAAGTATTACAAAACTGTGCACAGTTTGTCAGTGTTTGTGAATTATGTTCCAAATGAAGTTTTATATGTTTTAACCAGAGCTTTGTGAAAGTTACTTTTATAAGTCAAAGTGTTACAAACCTAGACCCTCACATTACCACTGTAAACAGAGGTCTGTACGCAGAGTCTTAATCACTGTGCTTTTATGAAGAGAAAACTTTGTAGATACTGAAAACACATTGCTGGTGTTCTTTATGCTTCTTTGTGTTTGTATTGTGTTTGTACGTGCTAAATGCAACAGGCTGATGCCGCCGGCCATGTTTTATATTTTGCCTTTTGAGCTTAACAGTTGTTAGAAGCAAGCAAATATTCTTACAACAGCAGCGAGACAACTTCCATACATCACCTCTGTCACCTCGCCACAGAGGTCTGGACACTGATCTGTGGTGACGGAAAGAAAATAGTGTTTTTAAGTGTCACAAATTGAAGAAGAAAACTGCTGTGCTTCAACATAATTTAAACATATCATCATGTAGCTGCTGAATTTCTTGATTAAAGTTTGCACTCTCATAAACCAAACTGGATGTCTGGCTTGATTTTTAATGTCATTAACATTAAATTAACTGTGGGTCAAAATCTCTTCCAAATTATCCTGATAATTCAAGGTTTTTTCTCTTGTAGCAATTTGTCTGAGTAAAAGCCAAGTAAAAGCACAACGTCATTCTTTTTTTGCTGCAATGATTTACATTGAGCTGAATTTAACTTTTATTTTGAAATCATTAAAATGTATACATAAGCCACACATGTTAACTATTATAATAAAGGCAAATATGTTTCATTTTGGGAAAAACATTTGACTATGAAATCTTCACCGCAGATAAACCAGGTAGGATGGACGCAAAGTTTTAACTTCACTCTGCAGCATAGACTCTGCTCACAAAGTGCAACACACAAACAATAAAAAAGTGACTGTAAATAGTAGAGGTGTTTAAGGAGGACTCACAAGGAATAATTCTGAAGGAGCTCAGGTCAAAACGTTCCTAACATGTCGTAGTGATATCTCGCCAACAGGTTGCGCTAGAGTGCTGACTAACCCTCATTTCACAGTCCAGCTGCAGGAGGGCCCACTGCCTACAGATGTGAGGGGCGGAGAGGGGGGGGGGGGGGGGGGGTGATTGACAGGTGTTTGAGCCAACAGGAGTGCCTCAGCAGGGGGCGGGACCGGAGCAGAAACCCTGCCCTCTGAGTGGAGGCAGCGGCGAAGAGCTTAATCAGGATCACACAACAATAATGAATGGAAACGCGTCGCAGCCAAGAAAGTTGAGCAGCAGTTAGAAGTAACTTTGGGAGTGATGCGTGATCTGCGAGTAATGGATTGGCCCGGAGAAGAAGAAACTACTCTGGAGAAGAGAAAGTTTGATCTCGTTTAAATTTTACAACAATAGCTTTTTGAAGGGAGGACAGTGGAGATACAGTGTGAAGCTCAACATGGAGATACACGCGTAAATGGCACAGAGGGACAGTAACAGCAGACTCCTGCGCTGTCAGCTTTTCATCTGGAGAAGTGGATTATCTGGATTCAATTGTTCATGAGACTCTCGGAATACTTGGAATGACATTTCTATTTTTGCATTTTTAAGCTTGGATTATTTTTTATTATTATTATTGTGAGTGAAATAAGTTGAAGGATTGGCACAAGGGAGAAGATGGGTAACATAGAGAGTGTGGACGGCCAGTCGGAGATGATGAAGCATCACATCATGCCCCTGAAGGTGCCTATGCCTGACCCCAACGAGCTGGAGGAGAAATTTGCCATTGTTTTGGTGAGTTGTTATCACCTTAATGTGTCTTAAACTTTACAAACGATCATCTCACATTGATTATAGGTTTGTTTATTTGTTTCTTTTACTTCTAGCTGTTTTTCTTGAGCCCATCTGTTAAATCACCCTATATAGATTCCATTCAAGAATCAAGAGATCTTTGTTATTGTCCATGTGCAGGTACAGTGACATTTTGTGTGGAGCTAAAACCTGAAGACACCTCATGAGATAACTCAGTAAAGGGTCAAGTGAGAAAAAGAAACTATGAAATATTAACAGAGGTAATTAATGTGTATATACAAGGAAAACAAATAGAGACAGTATAGACAACACAAAAATAAAGTGATGAATCCAAATTAAAACACAGCTAACATATTATTATCAAAGTTTGTTTGTATAGTGTATGTGTGTGTGTGTGTGTGTGTGTGTGTGTGTTTACACTCCATCCTCCATTATGAGCTACTGATGTTTTAAATGAAGGGACCTGTGCTGCTGTCCCGCCCCTCCCTCACTCACTCCCTCCCTGCCTGCTGTCTCCCCCTTTTCCTCCTCACCTCCTACCCCTGCGGTTCTTTTGTCTCCTCCAAAGTCAGAGGAGAACTCAGCTTTTGGCTGAAGTGGCAAACACAGCACAGCATGGTGGGTGAGGGGATGTGTGGTTTGGATCTACGTGTGCAGAAAGGACGTTTTTCTGTACACAGCCTTGGCGCGGAACATCACAGCACATTCTCCGCCTGGGTTTTGCCTGTAGACACTTTATTCTCGCTGCAGGCACACCATCTGAAAACAACATTTTCTGAATTCCCCCAAAACTCCCACACCCGAAGAGCCTACCTCCCCCTTCCTCCTCACCCATCCCCTCCGTACTACTCCACACACCAGGCTGGAGCAGAGCTGCTGTCTGAGCTCTTTTGTAATAACCACAGTCAACACCCACTTTTACCATCAGTCAGCTCAGTCAAGTGACTCTGTCATCCCACGTCAAGAGGGGACTTTACACACTTTCTCTTTTTTAACAACAAGTGACCACGTAGAATAGCATCAGTGTTACACTGCTATTGTTCACGACAATCTGAACTATCTATCTATCTATCTATCTATCTATCTATCTATCTATCTATCTATCTATCTATCTATCTATCTATCTATCTATCTCNCTATCTATCTATCTATCTATCTATCTATCTATCTATCTATCTATCTATCTATCTATCTATCTATCTATCTATCTCTCTATCTATCTATCTATCTATCTATCTATCTATCTATCATTCTACCTATCTGGCTGGCTCTGGCTGGCTGGCTGGCTGGCTGGCTATTCTGTTCAAGAGAAAATTAATCTGAAACTCTTTTACTGATGTGATTAAATGAATGAGTCAAACAAGAAATTAAGCATTTTCTGGTTCCAGCCAAATCAAAAATGACGATTTGATGATTTTCTTTTCTGTCAATCAATCAATTTCATTTCTATAGCACAATCCATACACATATTTGAAATAGAATATTCGACTTAAGTCTGTGTTTGAATCATCTTCCCATCTCCACACACTCCCAACTTGTTGCTCTGTTACGCTGTAGGTCATCCAGACTCATGCAGTCAGATTTCACATAGTAGAGAGTGCGCTACCTGACCTGTCTGTTTATTTATGTGATTTTTTTTGTTAAACAGTAGCATGAGGGTTTCTCCCAGGTGCTTATTTTGTGCTCCTCACTCCACATTTCAACACAACCACACCCGACCTTGATTTTCAGCAGTTTGAGACCTTAATTACAGTACTGAGCAGAAAAGAGACAGGATCCTGACAGAAGCTCGTTCCTGAATACTTTGTGGAACCTCTGTATTTTCTGGAATAAAATCATTACTTGCTTGCCAGAGCTATCAGCAGCTACAGCATAAAGCCCCCATCTGAAGAGACTCAGCACAGCGAGAAGCCTTTCAAGGCCTGCTTGTTGACCGCTGTGCTAAGTCTAAGCCATTATGACAATTATACACTGTACTGTACAGCAAACGCTAATATGACAGCTCAAGTTGTGTCTCTTTCTCTGGGCTGCAAAGTTTTAGGGGAATGTAAAGTTTTTCCACAGGACGGATCTAGAGCCCTCACATTTTCCTCAAAGAAAGACTGGAAATGGTTTTATATCAACATTCAGTCTGCCTGGAGACGGGAACAGTCTGCACTTGTTTGCCCTTCAACACAACATCAATCCCTGTTATTATGTTCAGCCGTGCAGAGCAGATATTTTCTGTGTGAGACGCAGCAGACTCAACATTTCAGTTGTTTCGGACTGGGAAAAGCTTTCAAGCTCCCTTGAATCCCACCCCAGCCTATACCGAATATAGCATCTCCAGATTTCCTTTACGTTTGTGGGAAAGAAAAACACGCCTGTATATTTAAGTGTTCTTATCAGACAGTGGTCTCCTGTCAAGATAGCAGTAAATCAGTTAGCCTCCGTCTTCAAGGTCTGAGCTCTTTCAGGAAGACAAGGCCATGACTTTAGTGTCTGGCGGCGGTTGTATTCTTCTGGGTGCTCTGTCCAAGGTGTGACAGAAATAGTCAGTTTACATCACTTCATTTTGAAGTGACCACTGTGTTTCCTGCCGCATGATGGCACACTGATGTGAATGGATGCGTCTACATCTGTGTGGCAGGGCTGCCCTCCCTCGCCCTCTCCCTCTCTCTCTCTCTCTCTCACAGACACAGCTCACAGACGTCCCACCGGAATGACACCAGCCTGTAATGATGTCATGGTGCAGCGTCCTTCGCCAGTGTAGTAATATCCCAGGCCTAATGACTTTAACAGGACCGCTCCACTGTACTGTAGATGGTGTGAGGCGGTGAAAGAGGGACGAGACCCCTGGGTTATAGCTTCGTCTGCTTCACGCTGGTCTGCTAATAAAGTGCCTGGGTCAGATCTGACTTTTTGCAGCATGTGGTAAAGGCATCAGATCGCTTCTTCTCGTCTTTTCTGTCCAGGGTTGTCAGGAACGGCCTCGGCTCTGTCTTTTGTGGTTGGAAACAGCTGCCTGGCATTTTCCTGTCTTCATTTTTACTGAGGAAATTACATTGTAGCCAATAGTGGTTGTGGTTGCTTCGCTCTGCAATAAGAACTGTGTTCATGCAGGCTGCTACTTGTGCACAACATGCAGTTAGTTCAGTGAGAGATATAGATCCACGTAAACCTCACAGGTAGATGAACATAGATGCTGTATCTTTAAAATCATATCTCGTTCGCTGTCTGTGTTCTCTTGAAACTTTAAGCTCTTTTCTCTTTGTCCTTGGTAACTTTTACTTATTCCTGATTCCAAATGGAAGTGGAACTTATCATTCACTGTTTCTCAGACGCTCCCATTTCCTGAGCTTACTCTCACTGTGGGTCTGGCCTCATGAAATAACCTTCTCCATATGACTCCGCGCTTATGAAAAAGATGTGAGATGAGTGAGTGGCATTTTCAAAGGTGTACGTCTGGCTCGGGATCCTCTTTCAAAGTGCCCGTGCACCAATCCACTACTGGATTCCTGCGGTCTAGTCTCGACTGAGGCCACAGGAGAACACAGAGAGGGAAAATTCCCTTTCAACTGGCGGCCTGCCACTGTTCTCAATTGTAACGACTTTACCAGCGTTTTTAAGTGGCGCGCACATATTTAAGAGCTGTTACGGGAGCAGCATGGGATTATTTTCACCACTTGATTGCGCTGGAAAGCATCGTTACTGATTTGTCTGACTCCGCTCGATGCACCACGTCTTTTATGCTCTGACATCGAGTTGCATCATGTGCAGATTTGCTTTCTTTCCCCCCGATGTTTAATTGTTCCCTGGAGTATATATTGGGAAAACTACAGAAGAAGAAGTTAGCGTTAAGTCAGTGTTAGTCAAATCAGACATGCTGACGATGTGACTCCCACACCCTGTATGACATCACTGCCTCCTGACGGCTGAAGTCTAAAGAAAGCTGCCGTGTCTGATAGTTGTCACTCAAGTGGAACTAATGGAGTCCAGATGTGCAATGTGTTTATTAGACATCAAACCTAAATCATTTTTATTTGTCTAATGGCACTTTGAGTTGATTTATGTGCACAGTATGTCTAATGCTCCCTTTCTTAACATCATCGTTGCCATCCCTCTTTTCTGGAGAAAATGTGTTTGTTACGTCACTTGAGAGTTGCGTGAATCTGGCTCAGCCACCCACCGCCATGTCCCTGGAAGAGGATGGGGGTTATGGGAGTTGAGAGCACACGGTTAACTTGGTTTTAGAGCAGCAGAGCAGGCTGGGGTTGGTGGTTGGAGGGGGGGGGTTCAGCACAAGGCTGTCCACCTGGCTCCCTCCACCCTCGGGCTACAATTCCCCTCAATCTGGGCCAGGCTTTATGGTGACTTTTACTGCCTCTCTTCGTCTCTGATGCAGTTATTTTGGAAAGCAAAGGTCAAGTTAAAGACCATGACTGAGCAGATGCAACATGCCCACTTTCCACATAGATTCTGTCTGAGATTTCTTCATGAGTGGTTTAATATTTTAAAAAGATGGCGATGGCACTGATGTCAGGCTCTAACGATATGACTGATTTGCATAATTCAGCAAAAACTCCGGATACTGAGAGAAACAGCTGATTCTGTGGAAAGTTTTAAAAAAGTCCTCGTGCTAAGTTAAGCTAAGCTCACTGGTTGTGGGCTGTAGCTGAATTCAACCTCTAAACATGAGAGCGTGATTGATTTTCTCTTGGCAACAGATACATAAGTGTAAAATGCCAAACTAGTCCTTTAAGCCCTGTAAGACGGCACAGGTAATATTTGTTTTGACTTTTTTTAAGTCACATAATTAAAATATGTTTGGATCATCTTTGCACATAAACGCCAATATGTGTGTTTTTTGGTTTGTGTGTGTGTGTGCAGTTGTGCGTGTCAGTGGGGGTTTGCATGCTGCTCTAATGCAGCTGCACCAAGGCTGTAGGTTGGAGAAGTGGTTTCCTCCTCAGTACAATGGTGACTCTGTCAGTCAGTGTTGT